CAGATGAGCTTACATTTGAAATGATTTATATATTTTTCGTATTCCTTGTCATATCGAGTTTTGGCTATGATATATGACATTATTTATATAATAAGAGTTTAAAAAATAAATTTAAGATAATGAGATCTTTTTGCTATTTATTTATTTATAGCACAGTGTAGTATATTAGGTTATAGTAGGATGTTTGTATAAAAAAAAAACAAACGTATCATTATGGAAGCCGTCAGGCACAGCAAATTTGGATATTACTCTAAAATTTCACATATGCAAGTAAATGGCACGACTTTAATCCAGCTATTTACAATTTAATGGTTTAATTTTAATAACACGTTATGTCTTTAAACTTTGACTATTAAATTGTAATTAATATATTTCATCAGTGCAATATACCTATAATAGCTTTTGTATTTGTAGTGAACCGCTTTTTAAACATCCTTTTTAAAAAAGTGTATTGCGAATAGCTTGAATATCTTGGTCTTTCATACGGAGATAAAGAAACTGTGGCAAAGACCTGTTATTAGATGAGTGACCAAAATGAATCTTTATTGAGTAAATTCATAGCGTAACAAATCAATTTGCCTTGTCTCCCAAATTAGGTTGCCCCGTATGTCAATAGTCAGTGCTCTCTAAGTGTTACATTTTGGCTTATGCAGACTAAGAAATTAAATTCAAAAATAATAAGAGTGAAAAAGAAATTAATAAGGCTTTTAATATTTTCAAATTATTCTATTAATCATGCGAGAATCAGGTGCGTGTGCGTGAGTGTGGGTGTGTGCACGCGTGCAAATTTTTTTTGGGTAAAATCTTTTTATTGTCTATTTCCTATTACTAGATAATTTATTCAAGGGTCTTTGTGTGCACTTCTACAATAAGGTTCCAAGCAAAATACAACAATTAGATATATTTATTAAAAAAACTTATTATAAGGTATGTATCTGATTATATAACAGAATTAATGCTTAAACATGAGATGGTCCAGCAATTGGATAGGTGATTTCTTCGAAACACATTATATCTCAAAATTATTGTGTTAACATTAAAATTATAAAATCACTTTTCTTTCTATCTATAATGGATTGATCTGATAATGACATGGTTTTGTGAATATCATTACTCCCATTAGAGCTGGTGAGGTGCTCGTTCTTCTTATCAGCCAAAAGACGTCCTGAACAAGTGGCAGGGAAAACGTTACGTTTAAGAACTCTATTTATATAAATACTTTTTCGACTTTGACTTAGTTATCTCTAGCTTTAAGTTAAGCTATTGGTCCTAGCTTCATCAGTGTAAGGACTTCGTATGAAATTATGGCCCATTCTCCCCATGTGATTACATCCAATGGAAAGCCTGTGCCACAGCAGAAGTGACATAATATGCTGTTGATGATGAATCAAATAGAAAATTTTAATAGAATCAGGCGTTAGAATAGAATTTACGGAAATCCATTGCTATAACCGTGAAACTATGATATCTCGAAATTTTCACTCCCTTCAATATTTGTTGCCGTGGATACTCACTGGGTGTGGAAGTACTAGATGTCATAATGTCACGGTTATAAAATTATGAATTCACATTGTACCCTCCTAGAAAAACACACCAAAAACATTACTAATTAAACCTATTTGTTCATAAAACTTTAATTGGCCAACATAAGTTTTGTCGATAAATATGAAGAAGAACTTTTCTAATATATATTTTCCCATCCATCAATTGATAGATGGCCATACGGAATTCGGCAAATTAACTAGTAATAGACGAACGTTATTAACCCTTATATGGATATGGCAAAACTTGAAATATCCAACCCAGTATATCCCACATTATGGATTGCTATTGAGTAGACCACGATCAAAAGTTGCCGAGATATGTTGTGTTGGACATATCAAAGTTTTGAAAATGCATAAAAATCATTTTTGGAAAATCTGATTAGACCTGCTCTTTAAAATATCCAAAACGAGATATATGTAAATAAAAAACGATTAAAATATTCTTAATGAAAAATACTTAAAAAATCCACATGGTCCCTGGCACTCTGAGATGGGACTTGAACCCATGACCTTTGCGATTGCTCTAACCACTGAGATGCCCAGGACCTAACAGGACTGGCGAATTTTTCAAGCACTTGTTGCTTCTTCGCTACTACAGAGCGTATTTTCATCAAAGATCAGGCAATCCATCCAAACAATCGAAAGAAGTATTTTTACAAATATTTAAACTTTCGGTGAAGATGAAAATTTATTCTAATTATATATTTGATAAAATTTTCATTCACAACGCTATACTAAAAATATTGTAAAAAAAAAGTAAAGGAAAATTGAATAAAAACCTCTTAGTGCATCTACACATTTTTGCCGAGTACTTTTTCTAGGAACTAATTAGTTATCTATGTTGAGAAAACTGTCAGGAAAGGAATAACATATCTCCACAGTTCTATGCGAGTTTAATATTGCTTCTACGTGATATGTGGCAATGAGTAAATCGTAATATTATGGTTTCATAAAAAGTGCTGTATTATTCAATAACTTTTAAAGATAAGAACCTTTTTCAAGAAAAACTGATCAGCTAGCCCTATTGGTATTTTTATGGGTTTCAAGCTTCAGAATAGAGGCAGATGCCGATGTATAACAGCGGGAACCAAACGCAGGACACTTTGACCATGGATGTTTTCTCTCCACCATTATAGAAACTCTCGGCAAATCCACAATCATAATAGAGTTTTGACCTCCTTTGATCTCCTTTACAGAAATTTATTATTTTGATCAAGAGTAGTCGAGTATGAACTCGGCCTGTTTTCGAGTGATTTTAACTTTTTTGAAGTTTGGATTCGCTCCTGCCCTATAATGATTATTTAAATTCCTATATATGTATTTATAATAACTTTTAGTATTAGATCTCGTGATCCAAGTTAAAAATAAAACATTTCTTCCTTTCTCTTCATTGTCTACTTAACGCTAGTTTCAAATTGAAAGGAAGGGAGGCAAAGAAAAATTCGTAAAGTCTCCGCAAAATGTATGAGCACCTATTACCAGTAGTTATCTATCAGGGACTCGGTTGAAATAAATGCAGTGTGGCCGTGCCGTTTATTTATAACCGTAAAATGCCTCAGTGAAAATGGTTCCAATGAAATACGTGGGTTTCGTCCCTTGGGTACTGTTAGCACAACATTTACTTTTTTTGTGTGCTACAGTTAGGTCTAGTTTGTTTTGCGGACCCTACTCGTGCTGGGTTTGATGTAAATAATTTATACTGTGTTACGGATTTTTCTTTATGTTATCCATTTGGATACCTACATTTGTTTATTGCTGACCGTTTATTCTCCATAATAGAATTTAGGTGAACGTGTATCTTTACTCAAAATAGATATAAATTGGTGTTTTTAATATACCTTCTACATAAAAGAATTTCAAAGGTCCGTAACAAATCTATTAACCCAACATTCCGATATATAATTTATACAATTACGTTATTTCAGGATTTTTCGAAACTAGCATGGAACATAGTTAATTTTGAAATATTTGATGTATGAATGCATTATTTACCTTTTGTCTTAGCATTATCGCTGTATAATACAACGACATTATAAATTAAAAAGTATGAATAAATCATAAGCAATATTTCAAATATTAATTTATTTTCTTCTTTAACTACTAATTACATAACAAATACAAATTTTCAAGGCGAAACAATCTTGTTTGATTTCTACAATTTAGGATTTTTGAATTTCTCTTAACTAATACAAATAATAAATACAGTTCAATACTTAATCCCCTTATAAATATAATATTAATAACGCAAAAAGAATATTTTTTTCTTAAGACTAGTCAGGAAATTACCACATTATATTCTTCATAATTAAGAAGGGTTAAAATGAAAAAAGTAGCTAAAAAAATTAATTCATACACTTTCAGATCAATGTCATTAAAAATTGATCATATATGAGATTTGAACAGTTTGTATTTTTTTTTTATTATTTTCAAGTTTCAGATAGGAATATCACAGCTATTAAAATAAAATTATGTACACATAGGCAGATAATGATTATCGTTCCATATTTTCCGTTAAAAACAGGTTAATTATTAATAGGGCACAAAAATGTTAATCTTACTACATTTTGGTGTCAAGCTAGCTATAATCTAGTGGCAAATAATATAAAATATTATATACAAATTATCCGTAAATATAACATAAAAATTTTATGATAGCGTTTCAAACATCGTAGGTAGGTACTCAAATTATTACACAAATGCGTAGGTACTTATTTTATACTTGTATTAGCTCCCTAATAATTATTATTGACTATGAAACGGTTTTTGATAAAGTCATTAAGAATAACTAATTAATTCTTAAACAATGTACAGTCGACAGCACGTCTATTATCGACAAACTATTGAATTTCCCCAATTGATTTCAAACGTTTTCACATTGAGGATAGAGTTGGACCGAAATTTGATATTTTATGGTACTCTGATGTGTTGATATATGTACCAAGAAAATAAGTTTCGCTACACCTTGTCCTGTACATAATAAAATAATACAAATTTTAATTACTAAAGGAATGAAAATAGAAAGACTAAGTTGTTAGTAACCGTTTTTAAGCAGCTAACTTTTATATTATACAAAATGGCAATTTTTTGCTTATGCCTCTATGATCAGGTTCGATGTTTTCTCCAATGGAGTTTAATTTAGAAAATTATATCTTACCTATTGCAAGTATATATTAATATAGATATGTCTCCTGAATTCAGTATTTTAAAGTCTAACACACTTCTGAATGAACCGCATAAGTTAAAAACTTAATGACGAAGTTCATTTACAACAAAAAAATATTTTTAGTGACGCTCGCGCGTTATATCGTTCTGAAAACCTTTACTGACAATAAATGAACAGAATTAGTTCGATTCCAGGAAACCAGACATATCTATATTAAGATAACACGTGTGAAGTCGTCACGATAACTGTTCATCGTATGAAATTATAACGTCGATTTAAACAAAATTACTACATTTTCTCTCAGTCACATCTTACAAGCGTTATTATTAAGAGGCATTATTTTAAAAACTACTATTTCAGACCATATACCGAACCCTTTTTACAGTATTCATGATAAATAACAATTTGATAATAAATTCAGTTTCTTGTGAGCATAGGGTTTATCATTATATTTGCGAGTGCGTTGCGTCGTTTACGCCATGCGCCTGCGCCTTGCGCGTGATATTGTAACTGTCTGTACCAGGTTCTAGTACGTGCGTTCTCTTCCGCCTGAAAATAAAAATACAATCTTATAAATATATTTTTAATATTTAAAATACAGATAAAGTAAATATTTATAGCGTAAAATAAAAAAGTTGAAAGTAATATACATATAAGTCTTTAGGACAATTTACCTTCAGATAAGTCTTGAGATAAAGAATAATGAGAATATAAAATAGGAGGGAAGTGTGGCTCAAACTCATTATACATTTCTTTACAATACGACATTAAAAATACATAGTACGATCAAGAGTCGTAATAACTAAATTAGTTCGGTTTCAAGGTGTTACCTTAAATATATAAGAATCCTTAGTAGTGATCTCGTGAACCTCGAAGAAGTGCTCGGGCTCATGATCGGCCGCCACGACACATCTGTCCAAAAACAGTGGCTCTCTCTGTAGGGTGTATCTCCCGGCCTTCTCTCGCACGAGTAGGAGAGCGGCCTCCCTCACTCCGCTACGAGCGAATAGTGCCTCTCCTTCTCTTTCTCGCGCTTCACGATCTCTCGCCTCTCTGGTTTCACGGATCTCGTTCGTTTTGTGAATAGTCGTTGGCTTAAAAAGAAAAATAGATGTTGTTAGAGAACCATGCCTGTTGTAAAATGTTTATTTTGTTGTATTTATTGAATAAGTACGGTCGACAAAAATTTAGAGTTTGACAAAAATTTATATGATAGATATAATCATTGCTAAAGTTGACTTTTCTCAACTCAAATAAGGCGTTTTGTCTGTTTTTGACTGAAGTTTTAACATTTAAGTAATGGGTATAATATTAAGACAAAGAGTAATACACCTTATTGTTTAATGACGTTCAAAATACTTCAACCATAGCCATGCTATATATTTTGCAGATTATACAGAAAACCATGATTTCTTTGTATAATCTGCAAAATATATCAAATTTGAAATACAGATGGAAAGAAAAACTCATAACTTAATCGTAAATTGAAAACCAAACGATAATTTAATTTAGTTTAGAACGCCATCTTGTATAATAAAGCTTAAAGTTCCTTGACAAAAACAGTGCGATGTAGAATATACTTAGCTCAAAATATATAAAAAAAATAATTTCGTATATTTTTATTATTACCTACCCTGGGTTTTTAACTACTCAAATACAAATTTTCATCGTTATAAGTTCAAAAATAAAGAAGTTTTATACAAAAGTCTTCACCCTTTTATACTCCCTACGGGGTAGAATTTTCAGAAATCCGTTCTTAGTACGCGATTAAGACGCATGTATTCTCCAAATTTCAAGTCTCTATGTAAGAATCAACCAGAAATGAGCAGGTGTATTGATTAAAGCTCATAATTCAGTCAGTTAATAGTCGCTTTAATATGTAATAACATTATCATATCATATATGCACTACTGTTCAGGGCTAGAAGACACCGTAAAGTTGGTGAAGGGCATTAGCGGGAAATGCGTGGTAGACCTGGCCAAAAAGGAAGATATTTACCGAGTTGCTAAACAGGTGGATCGGGCAGTTGGCAAGGTTTGTATAATTGAGTGTTATCTTACTATTATCATATGCATCTTACTATTAATATTTGTTTTGGTGAATAATTGGTAGCACTGCAGAGCGATTTTGTAAAAATCCGGACCCAAATTCTAATTCGTATTCACGTCATTAAGTGAAGAAATTCTATTGATTATTTTTTTATATAGAAAAACAAAACAAATTGATTGATTATACGTATCTTAGATATTCTATAAATATGTCGTTTCGAAACTCACTTCACTTATGCCACGAAACGGTATTAATAATTGAAGATGCCGCTTTCCGAAGTGAAATCAGACACCTGAGTGATTAAGAATTCGGGTTTGGATTTTACAGAATCACTGGGCTTGTATCAAATTCATAAATCATAGTCAACATAATCACTTACCGACACCTAATTTGGTTTCGGGAACGACATTATTAAAATATCATCTCATTATATATAACTTTTAAATATAAATAATAGATTATTTTGTAATAATAAAAGATATTACACTATAAAAAAAGTCGTGTCATTATTAAAATCGACTATGTTATAAATTCAATTATCCATGACATATAAACCTATTTTCAACAAAAGCGATTTACCTTTCCGTTGGTCACCAAAAGGGCGTTGATTGGAGTCAGTTTGATGGTGCGTCCCTTCCGCCAGTTGTTGTCGTTTGGCTGAGTGAACAACAGTTTGCCTTCCATTGCAAACCTTGTAACAAAGATAATACGACACAAATTGGTTTATTTTGCATTTTATTCAATTTAAATTTGAGAGACAGAAATTAACAATATAAATAGAGTAATTGTATGATACATGTTTTAAGTTTCAATGTATCGTATAAAACACTTCATATTTAACGTGATACATTTCATAAATACTAGCCCATATGAAAATATTTAAAGATGTTAACTTTACTTAATACTATCTGTTTTCCTGCGAATTCGCACACGTAAATTATACTCTTATGTAGCCTTTGTAAATACCTTATGATGACGTAGGTTAAAGAATTTTTAAAATCGATCCAATAGTTTTGGAGCCTATTTGATGCAAACAAACAAACAAACAAATCTTTCCTCTTTATAATATTAATATGGACAACTTATTTGCAATGACACACCTTACTTAACATCCAATTTTGATAATGTATTCTTGATTGTTTTCCACAGTACCTTTCTATGCAAATTCCGTGTATTAAGAACATAAAAAGGGGTCGCACGGAATAAAATCCTTTCCAATAATCCTGTTACCTCGCATTAAGGATCCTTAAATCTGAGCGGTTTAATTCGAAACGCCTTCAAGGCTTTGTAACGTCTCTTTTATCGTCTAATAACATATTTTAAACAAACATTAAAGAAAACTGTCTTCAAATAATATTTCCTTTTTACACGTATAATTAGTTGTGTTTGTATTGCTGAGATGCAATAAAGAACCCTCGAGAATGGCTCTTGCTGCCGTTACTGCCACACTAAAGCGACGATTATCAAGAACGTAGAATAAGAGAAAAGCACAAGCGATTTTAATACTTATTCCTGACAGATTGATTGCATTAGTACATAATGTTTATTTTACTTTTTCTTTCGTTTACTTCATGTCGTTTCTTCTTTCATTCATCATTCTTACTCACCAAGTGGATCAAAAATTTACATATTTCTTGTAAAACTTTATTTAATGAATTGAAATAATAGATAAATTGATCATGGTCATTAAATACAGTTTTTGATGTTCTAAAGACAAATTAGACTTTAAGCACAAGACGTACGCATTCCGGAAATGTTTGTGACTCGCACCCAATTTCAAACCTGCGGCCCGCAATAGATCTTATAATGGGGTCATTTATTCCATCTACCAATAGCAGGGAGATGTCCCAGGGATACAATTTGCCCAAACGCCTAGGATTTATCCCAAGAACATAATGTTTGTTTTTAATTAAATGTCCCATTGTTGCATGCTTTAAATTTCATCGCTTTGGTTTTGTTGTTGTTTAAGAGTGATAACCAACAGTAGTTATTTAAAAGGGATTTCTTATCCCTAACAATATAAAGCGTACATTAAGACCATCTAAAGATGTTCCTCATCTTTGAAGATGTGTTTCACCATAAGCGTACTTTGTAAAACTAACAAATTTCATAGGCGAAACACTTCAACTATTATAAATTTCACCTGGCATCATCGTGATTCCAATCAAGTACGTCAACTGCCATCTTCCTCAGTCTGATGTCAGCGACGTGGAGATCATGCGCAGTGCGTCGTGCGGCCGCCAGTCTTCGCCACAGAGGCACGTCTCGTGCCGCTGCCGCAGCAGCAGCAGCTGCAGCATTGATCTCCTCCAATCTGGACTCAACGCATCGCTGAGCCGCGCGTACGTCCTCGCGTTCAGTTGCGCACGCGGCAGTAGCACGATGCAACCGCGAGAGAAGGAGGGGATATTTTGTCACGCGTTGTACTGGCACCTAGAAGAAAGATTTATGCATAAACATAAATCAATAGTAAATGAATAATGATAGCAATAAATAAAACTACTAATATATAGCGGTTAACCCTTTTTTCTGCAATGAGAAAATTAAATAACTTTCTTAATGGCCTGTCTAGGATGAATGACCAATTATTCAGAAGATACGGAAAATTATTGATCCCGGTGCAGCCCTTAACACCAATCTTTCAGCAGAGGGTCCACGAGGTAGTTTATGACCCAAACTCCGTTTGTTTTAATTCGATTCTCAGAAGGGGTTTTAATTCGATTCTCAGACATTCGATTATGATGATAAAAACTAAGTAGCAAATATTCAATAATAAAATTCTTACCATAAGAAATGAGTTTAAATTCATACGCCTCAAAACCGTGTTTTCCATCTGCGAGACGCGTAAGAATATCCTCAGAAGTTCCTTCTCCTTCTCGAGTCCAGCTAACAGTAAGGCAGCGCCTGCTTGTTTTACACAGTATGATTGAAACGCTGTTAACATACCCGAACATTCAATAAGAATTTTCCCAACATTAACTGTAAGTAAATCCTGTAAATAGATACAAATATTATATTTCATAATCATTACTTATAAAAAACAAAAACTTCTATTTTCAATAATATCTAGTTAAACTTGCCTCATCCCCTTGATCTAGAGCAATTTCCAAAGCATCACGTAATTTTTCAGATAGCACTTGATTATTGTCAATGAGTTCTTCTACGTTCAGGAAAATAGCACTCAATTGTTCTTGCGTTAAAAGTCCTGCAACTAACATAGGTTTGTAAAATTCTTCTAGTATGATTTGCAAATCTCTCCCATATTTTTCTTCTGTTTCTACAATTTCTGTCAAAATTTCTTTTCTTTCAGCTCTTTTCTTTGCACATTTGCGACAAACTAACGGTGCATATATAGACCCTGTAATAAAAAAACGGTACATAAGTAATAAAACCATTACATTAATATTATTAAAAATAGGTTCACATACATAAAATAATATGATTTATCCAAATTTTACCTTGTTCTGTAACTTGAGTTTCCACTGCTGAATCGCAATCTTCGCAAAGATGTATGGGTGTATCCGTAATTGTACCACATGGAGAAGATTTTCCTTGTAATCGACTTCTTGAAGATTTGCTAGTTTCAGAACCAACACCAGAATCATTTCTTTCAATTTCAGCTGAAGTTTTCTTACATACTACGGATTTTTCCAAGCTCTCGTGATTTATGATTAATGAATTATCTTCACTTGAATCTGAAGCATTTGACAAATGACTTGTATTACTACTTAAGTGCGTATTGTTAATGCTTGAATTATTGTGTTTATTTTTTGTTTCTTCTAACATATTCGAAGTATCATTGCCGCTAGCATAACTTGTTATATATGTCTCTTCGTCATCGATTCCTCGTTCTTTAGCATCTACTAAATATGACAAAATATCGTACTTGGATGCTCCTTCAAAAATTGATCTAGAACCACTACGTTTCTCATCATCAATAAGCATTAAAGAATTAGGTGGTGGATTTACTGGCAACGGTGGTGGTATATCACCAATTTCCTCATATATTGGATCACTGTTTAAGCGAATTGACTCATAATGATGATCGTCATCGGTATTATTACCTATTTCTATTTCACATAGCGCAGCATCCACTAGCATTTGATAAAACTTCGATCTTGTTGAATTAGTATCGTCTTCAGTTGATAGTTCACTTGCCGATGCGTTGTAACAATCAGACATGGGTTCGAGATCAGAAAAAGTGCCCACAACCCCGCTCTCATACTCCATACTTTCATAGGGAGCAGAGCAGCTATTTTCATCATTATCAATACCGGTAGTCCTGTCAATTATTTCTTCTTTTTTACATTCATCAGTTTCAGGGTACGTATCATTCTTTGTAGCATCATTTTCTAAAGTACTGCCATTAGAATCTATTTTTTCTTGTTTTAAATTTTTCAAAGAACTTTCTATAAGTTTTTCAATCTTCATCTTATCTGAACCTTCTTGATTTTTTGTTTCCTGAAGCTTTATCAAAGAGTTTTCAATCAATTTTTTCACCAAATCAGAGTCAAGTCCTTCCGCCAAATGACCAAAAAATGGATCATCAAAAAGTTTTGTGACAAAATTACCATCCTCGGGTTGTTTCGAATAAATGTCATCTTTTTTGCCACATACATGAGGAATTAAATTCCTTTTTACAGCTTCAACTGGATTACACAATATAGATGACAAATCATGCGATGTACTGGAATTATTTGATAATTTATCGTTATTTTCATTGAAATACTCCTCATATGTGTTTGCTTCGTCAGAAATTTCCTTTGATTCAGACAATACTGCTCCGATATAAATCTGACTTTTAGATTTTTTTATTTCTTTCTGTGGCGTTCCAACGCTAATTGTTACTGTAGTGCCAGTTTGATATGACCTGCATGTGTTCCCAAAATCATCATTGACGACAACGGATGACAAATAAATAGGAGTATCACTATTAACATTCATTGTCGAGTAACATTCGTTGCCGTTGATTTGAATTGAAGTTTTTCTTGGTTCACTTTCAATTGGATTCAGATGGCTGGTATCTTTTACTTCTTCGGCTTCATCAGAATCGAACTGTTTCACTCGAAGAATAGTCTTTTGCTCATAGTCATTAGCATCGGACCACTCATCACTCGTAGAGCTTGTAGAGTTATTTCTTACAAAACGAGTCTTTACATAGGTATGTTTTTTAGACTTCAATCGATCTTTTGACTTGAGTCTTGGTGGAGGTTCAGGTGATTCAGATATTCCACGACGCAAATTCTTTAAAATGTTTTTTGTTATGTCACTACTATCACTTAAGTTACCATTTTCATTACTATCGTTTATGTAAATATCTTGATCTTTAGAAATTTTTTGAGACGGTACAGTAATAGGAGTACTGTGAACTGTATTTGTATCTATTTCACTAACAGGTGATAAAAATACTTGGCTGGTATGGCCATGTTTACTTTTTGGTCGCAATGCCATAGTATCCATAAACTTAGGAGGAGATACTGTCACGCTAGGTGTTAGTCGTTCCGATTCAGACCGTCGTAGCACTGGTATTCTAGGAATGTCATTATCTGCAACCAAAAACAATGTATAGCATTAAAGATAAAAATACACAACTATTCTTCTGGTGCACCAAAATATGATTATAAAAGCAACAGATTATTAAGCTTAAAACAAGTTTTAAAAAATACCTTCTATTTTAGCCACAGAATTTGAATCTTCAAATACATCGTGCTCGGTAGATGGAATGTGAATTTGGTTATTTTCTTCTTCTATTAACCTTTCAGATGTGTAATTTGTGTGTCCACCTTCATAAATACTAGTTTCTTTAAGAATTTCCTGATTAATTAATTGTGAAATTTCTGACTCGGTGCTTTCATTTAAACTATGACTGACTACATCTCCCTCAGCTACAATATCTTCTTCTGGTTCAACAATAACTTCTGTAGATTTTTCAGTCACGAAATTTTGTTCAAGGTTAAGCTCTGCAGTATAAATAACTTTAGTTTCATCGCTTTCTACTAAAAACTGAACTCTTTTTCGTTGAAGTACATTTTGTGAATGAAATCCTTTTTCTTTTGGTTTAGGTAGATAAAATTGGGACGAATTATTTTTTTTAGTTTCAAATGAATCATCTGAAATAGCAACTCTGTTACTGTTGTCATGACGATCGTAATTTCTGGGTTTTTTTAATATGGACTTAATTGTATCATTACTTTGAATCTTGTATTTGGAGTTTCGTAAAGAATCGCTCATTGGTTTTCTAGAGAAATTTCTATCTGGAAACCGCTGGTTATCACTTTCACTATCATCGTCGGTTTTAATATTTCTCGCTCTGCGTGGAGGACGTTTGGGAGACACGCTTTTTTGTTTTGAACGGTTGTAACTGGATATATTTGATAACTTCTTACCTGTAGTTTTACTTAACGAGATAGATTTTTTATTTTCATTTTTTATGTTTGGTAGAGACATAGACGTCGATGATTCCGATGGTTTATTTTCCATTTTTTTGAGATCATAGTTAATAGGATCATAAACTGTCACTTCTTCAACAGTACATGACCTAGATTCATCAGAAACCCGTATTCTTTGACCACCAATTGCTTTCACATTTGTGTCAGATTTAGATTTGATTAAAGATCTGTTTTTTAATGATTCATTAAATAAATCACTATAATCATCGTCAAATTCAATTTCCACTAATGATTTTGAACTTCTTTTTGATTTAACAAGATCATAAGGGTTTATGTCACAAGATAATATAGACTTTTTCTGTTCAATAGTTTCTATCTCTTCTTCTATCCATAAATCATTTACACGACTCACAGATTTGCTTCTACTTTTACGAAGAGTTTCTGGACTTGGTTTTTTGTTTTTCACTCTACAAGGACTAATACTTTTAGCTCGCGATCGAGTAGTAGAGAACTGACTACCAATCCTTGTCTCGTGTGGTGGTGCCAACCTACTCCTTCTCATCAAATCATATGGGTCTGCTTCGCCATTATTCTTTAATATAGTGGGTCTGGACTTTGACCCTTGTACTCTTACGGTTCCAGCTCTTAATAGTCCGTTATCACGACTTACTTGTGGGCCTCTAACAGTACCTCCAACCAATAGCCGTGGGCTTTCAGCTATTGTTAATGGCAATCGAGATCCTTTACATTTCTTACAAATACTTACTTTGGTAGAGCTGGTTTTTTTAGTCCCATTTAAATATTCGGGACAGGAACACAGAATAACCGCATAATTGTGGGGTTGAGGTTTTTGAGGAGTACTTATTAAAACAGGACCAGATACTTCAGGGTAAGCAGAGAAGACACTTGGTCTAATAGGTGGGGTTTGGGTCCTGACGGACCCATACAGCCAGGTCTCAGCATACTTCATTGATTTTGATAGGGATGATCCACCAGGTCCTATGGTTCCGTACATGTAAGGGCTCTCTGGTGATTTTTCTGAAGATTTTGTACTGCCTGATGTATTTAATTTCAATTTCGATGACCATTTCTTTGGCCGTGTATTTTCTGTTGTATCATATATCTGTAAAGAAGAAAAAAAAAGCAGTTGAATAAATGAAAAAATATATGTACATATAAACTGACATTCTTATATATTTTTAGAAATATACCAATAACCCAAATAATCCACTGAGGACAATAACTTTTAATGATTGATGCTACCTCCTAACAATGATGTCATAAATGGATGTTGTTCCCGGAAACATGATGCTGCCGTCGCTCCAGATGAAAGCCGGATTGTCCGGTTTCAATTACCGGTGCGACTGATTCGTCTATATACCCGTAGATCAATAAAAATATCTCCGGGAATTCTCCCACTCCACTTTTGCTTGTAAGATATATTTGCCAAGTCGAGCAAAAAAGTAAAAAGGCCACGGCTATACCATCCCTTTCACGCTGCCTCATTTTTAACCCCATGTAACTTCGTTGTGGAGTAAACTAGAAGCCTACATTTTTAGTGAAGAGGACATCACATAATGAGACACATTTCCAAATTACATTAAATTTCAACAAGTGTTTTAATACTTAATTTAATTATAGCGATTTAAAATACCTGTTTTTTTCACTGACTGGGTTATAGATTATCAAAATTCTAAGATACTTCTAGCGCTTCAAAATTTTTAACACTGCTATTTATTGCATACAAATAAAAAAATCTAACATTATGAAATATTTATCCCGTTTTTTAGATTTTCGTATTATTTATAACTGTAGAGCATTTTGAAAACATTCATCAAGATATCGCTGGTTACCAAGCAAACCAGAGAAAATTTTAACATTACGTGATACAAACATTTACCAAAGAGTAAATAAAATATACATAATTTAAATCTATTATAAGGAAACTATAACCATAGAAAAACTTTGTATCAAATAAACGTCAACTTGGGGTGTATGTTCCCAATATAATAAACTTATTGATGATGCATTCATCCAGCAGATTTGCCATATGATTTATCTAAAGTCAATACTTTAACGCCTTTGTGAAAAGTGCACAGAGACTGAGAGTGAGTGAAATTTGATGGCCGCTAATGACACTGAAGATATAATATCCGAAAAGAAAAAAAAGAAAACTACTTACAAAAAGAAATGAGATTAACCAAGTCGATTAATTCAATACATATCTTTCTGTGAGAATATACCTATCTTTCTTTCATTACAACCTTGTCATAGATTCAGGAATACTAGGCAAACGCATAGATATGGTTAAAGAATGTTACATAAATGATGAGCCCACAAAATTATCCTAACTCTTCATGTGTATCAGAGATGTATTTTACCAAAGAAAAATACATCTCCAAAATAAGTTTTGGATAGATTTCATGCCACTTAAATGCTGGCTGATTTGTTATTTTTTGAATAGACAGCGTGCACGAAAGATATGAAACTAAACTATATGTACCACATAAAATTAGTAGATATAATCCTTTACATTTTGTAACAAGAATAATAAAAGTCGTGACCGTCTATTCCTTGCGCAAACTCCATGTAATGTCAAAATGGCACCGATTTCACGGCGGCCACAATTTCGTCGTTGCGGTAAAGGAAATCGGTCTGTTAAAATCTAAATTCATGTTGTAAAATAACAACTGAATGGCGAATGATGTGAAACTCAATTCAATTATTTAGTTCTGCCATTAAGCAGGTTTAAATAATTTTATACCAGTCCCCGCAATTTGGGGCATGTTTCCAAATATCTTTAAAAATGAATATGAATCGCATTACCATATCTCATCTGTTTTTGTTTCCGTCTGTTTCATTTAAGCATGAAACTACACGAAACGTCTTTCTTTCTTTTTCAGAAAGAACCCTTTCCCCCTTTCTCATTGATCATGGCATAGAGTTATATGTTCTGTTTAAGTGGACTCACTTCATCATCATCATCAGCCCTGTTACGTCCCAATTGCTTATGGATCCAATTGGTTACTGAGGAACGCCGATTGGAAGGTATTAACGACTGCAAATCACGGAGTAACTCGAGATAATAATCTTTTGGCCACCTATTCCGTGACCGACCCTTCCGAAAGTTGCGTAACAACAACGTTCGCTGACCGTGGCGCTTATCAACTACGCCACCGATTTTAAGTAAGTATCACTATTGCTACATACATCTCCCAAATAACACCTATAATTAATAATTATAAAGGTCTCATATTTAAGTTAATCTATATATTTAAGGCGTCGAGACTTCGTACAGTGCGAGACGAATCCGCCAGGATACCTACCTGGGATTTTCGGGACCTGGAGCCTATCTGCAGTGCACAATATCTAAATGATAACAAAAGTTTCAGTAAACATGCTTATATAACTAATTACCAAATACGAACGAAAGTTTTTTTCATTTACTAGAAGAGCGTTCTAACCTATTTGTGTTTGTATTTTTTTATTATAATTTTGCTTAACCGGTGTTGGAATTTTCAAAAGCTCTATATCCTATCACTGAGCCTATTGTTCTACTAAAGTGAAAACCACGCAATACAGCTGCGGTTGTATTTAGACACCTAACAATGCACCTTGTTAGTATTAACTAGACCAGGTTCTCCGGCTTTATCACTAGCAGGCTTGGAAAGTGCCCTATCTCTTATTTATTCCGGCCAGTTTCTATTTTCACATAGTAACCTGTGTAACTTTAAAACTTACTATGCTGTACTACCTATTACGCTTTGTATAGTTTACCTATAACGCTTAATATAGTTTATGGTTTTTGAATTAAAATTGTATCAAACGATTCTATTTAACCATTTTGATATAATCCAATGAAACTACTTTATTTAAAATGTATTATTTTTCCAGAAATATACTAAATAAAACAGTTTGAAAGTCAGCTTAAATTACAATATAACAGAATAATAGGATTCTAAATGCTAAATTAACAAATTTTACATGATATTTAATAATAAAATCTTACAACGATTACAATTATAAGCTGTAATTCGAAGATATAATTATACTAGATCAATACTCGTACGTAACGAAGCTTTCACTTGATCACATATCGCCCTCTTATATCAGATATCTCGTTATCAAGTTCTCTGAACAAAAATAATGATACATCTCCGGCAAAGAGGTCCCCTTGAGGTTTGTAAATAGTGCCGACATAATTGATGTTTTCTTTTGCCCAAACGGTTTTTGTTTTTCTTATCCAATTCACTGAAACTGTACTTACCTTAAGCGCATTTTATAAATACTCTTTTGTTTGATTAGGGACATTTTTTTTTATTTTTGTAGTAAGTTCCTTGCGGCTATATATATATGTCGCAGTAAGATAGATAAAGCCGTAATATAGTTATATCCCTAGGGATATAATTATATACCGTAACATAGTTATACGGAAGCGATTTATTACTATCTCACTAGGAATATAGTTATAAAGCGGTCCAAGTTTAGTGATATACTTATATTACTAGATTAAGTTCAGTGTTATAAATATATTACTTGATTAAGCTTAGTGAAATAGAAATCTATCATATATAATTAAATAAAAAAATATTATATTGGTTTTATCCTTAATTAAAAATCAACTTTATGTATCCTGCAGTTAGTTACAATACTTTGTGACATTAACGTGTATTAAAGTGATTTCAATTATAATTAAAACGATCATATTTTTTGGAATTTAAACAACAATAACAATTCAATTAAAACTATGTAATCAAACATTAAATATGTTATAGCTAATGAACAGTTTTGAGATATCTTTATTTCTTATCAACTAAGTTGAGATCTCGGTTTCTTTAAAAGTATTTTTTAATTTTTGTTTAGACAAGAAGAGGAATCATGCAACTAGCATCACATAGCACTGAAAGCTTCTTACAGGCACATCTTTTAGTTAGAACACTGCATATTCGATTTTTTACAGGTACATTTTAAATAGCCGTGGCCACCAAAGCGCGACAATTTTTGCCATATTTCTCTTATCATCATCATCACCAGCCCTTTTACGTCCCCACTGCAGGGGCTCAGACCTTCCTTATGGATGGTTAAGGAGGATGGGCCACGACTCTCCACGCTGCAAATGCAGCCGGGACCAACGGCTTAACGTGCCTTCCGAAGCACGGAGTAGCTCGAGATAATAATTTGTAACGACAACGATCGCGGGCCGCGGCGCTTATGTTTGATGCATCCAAGACCATATTTCTCTCAGTGACAAGTTTTCATTTGGTATAGGATCATTCAAAGTAATGTTTGAAAGCTGTATTGCATTTCTGGGTAACCGATTTTTCAGCATACCAACTGATGTTCCAATTTTATCAAATTCATTTCGCTTTTCTAAAACTTTTCCTAATACATTTTATTGATCCAGTAATCCACGATCTATCTTTGGTATGTCTATAAGAAGATCCCACGTCAATATCAGGAAATTTGTGTGATGAGTGGGTTTTCATTTTTGTGCAGCTTTTCTTAAGTTTTCGGCAGCTATTTCACTAAACCTAATCTAGTAATATAAGTATATCACTAAACTTGGACCGCTTTATAATTATATCCCTAGGGATATAAATATATTACGGCTTTATCTATCTTACTGCGACACACATATATATATATATATAAAACCCTTTTGCTGATCCTTGACAGTCAAGTTACAGGCATACAGACGGCAAAACATCAATTTTTATTTCTTTTAAATAAAAATAAACATACAATAGAAGAAATTGTTAATCTTTTTTTATCCGCTGATATTCAAAATACTCTTAAACAGGCAATACTATAATACGTGATCTGAACATAATATCTTATTTATTTATTATTAGTATTAACAGAAGTGGCAGAGTAACATAGTAGTTACAAATTGCGAAAACATCCGACAGATGTTACACTATTTGTAAATATAAAATTTAAACATTTAACTGACATACACACTGCCAGGTATTTTACATTAAAACAACCAAGTAGGTTAAACGAGATTTAAAAAAAAGGTTTAAAATCAACTGTAGAAACGCAGTGTGAAGGTTTTGATAACTCTGCGTTTATAAGCGAAATACTACTGAACATTAATTATGGTTTCTCAACAACAATCATGGG